AATAAAATATAATATAATAATTTCAAATTATTTTATTATTTGAAAAGTATTTAAACCTGAAGAATAATTTACAAAATAAATAATATATATTTATAGTAAAAAGAAATGAATACAAAAAATAAATAAATCAATAATAATCTATTTTTTAAAATATATATAATTAAACAAAATTAATTAACTTAATTTACATCTCTAAAAAATAATTAATTATAATTCAATAATTAATAATATAATAAATAATAATATAATATAATAAGAAAAGAATAAGTAAAATTATAAAAAAATTATTATAAGAAATCTAATTAAAAATATTAATTATCTAAATTAATATAATAATCATCTGTATAACAATATATTAAATCTAATATATTAAATACATAAATAATTATCTGTGTATTCAGAATGAAATTAATTTTTATAAAAAGTGATATAAAAGCTAAAGTATTATATAAATAATATAAAATGAAGATCTAGACTTAAAGAAAAATAACTTAATTAAAATTATTACAGATATAATGCTTTAAATTTTATTTAATTAAAAATTTATCATTTATTATATAAAAATAAATATGCATATATTTAAAATTTTTTTAATTAATTCTAATTAGTTGATTTAATTAATATATATAAGATTTATAATATGAATTAGTATTTTGATGTAGTATTAGATATCTTATACTATTATTCACTATATTTAGATTTATTTTCTGTATTTATATTCAGTATTATTTTTGAAGAGTTTTAAATAAAGTTTGAATAATTTTTTTAAATAAAAATAATTATTAATATTCTAAAATTTTATTATGATAACTGATTTGAATAATCTAAAAAAAGTTTAGAATTAAAACTGTATATAATCAGATAATTTATATATTTTTTAAAATATATAAGATTTTTAATAGCTTAGACTTGGACTTGAACAAGTCAAAAAAAAGCTTGAATATTAAAAATATATAATGCAATCTATATTTACAGACATTATTTTGTGATTATTTGAAATATTAGTATTATAAATAAGAATTCAGAAAAAATATCCCAGAGAAGAAAAGAAAAAGATTATATTTAAAAACTTTTTCTATATTAATTCTAATAATAGTTTTTCTAGACAAAAGTCTTAAGCTCTTGAAATTAAATAATTAGTTTTAATGAATTCTGAATCAGAGATCTAGTTAACATAATATCTTCTGGCTTAAAGAGCCAAATTAATGCATCTGTAATTTCAATTATAATTGTCATGAATATTTATTACTTGAAGAAAAATTGATATTTCTTATTAAAAAGAACTTGTTCAAAGTAGAACAAAATGAAACTAGAATATTAATTTCATCAAGCTTTTATGATTGTGATGGCATTCTATTCTTCTATATAACTAATAATTTTGTGAAGTGTATTATTTGATGGCATACTAATTATATTATTTTGAATAATTTGTGTGGGATTAATACATATTTCTTGAGCTTGTTATTTGATACGGAAAAACTCTTCTTACAACTCCAGCACTGCTAGGTGATTGAAAAATTTAGTTTTTGTGCAACCTTTACAGTTTTCTGGTTTTCTTTTTCGCAACACCAATAAAAAATACTGTTTTTACTATCACTAGATAACCACAAACATTGATGACTTTCTCTTTCTACTAATTCACAAATTTCATCCATCATTTTATGATTTAAAAAATACATTATATCACGACACGTATGGATCATGTAAGAATAGGGTTAAGCTAATCATTGTATCAAAGATAATTGTATTTTGTTGTCCGCGTCAATTAATATGCATATAGAACGTGAAAAAATTGGTGTACTTTCTTCTATTTTTCACAATGATCGATATTATAAGAAAAATAGCGATCGTCCTTTAAAATGTCAGGAAGCTGAGTATGTCGGGGTGTTGGATTGTCAGGAAGATGTGTGGTCAGGATGTTGGATGTCGGGATGTTGACGTAGATCTGTTTTTGATTTTGGTACCCTAGCAATTTAATTTTTGAAATCTTAAAAAGACATCCTGCTTTTTATGTTCAAACAACGGTGCGAGTTTAAAGCTGAATGATTCTAAAACTTAAATCTTCATATGAAAAAAATCATAAGTTCAAGGTCTTGTCTTATAATGTATTTAAAAGTTCGAAAGTTCATTAAATAATATCCGATGCACAAAAGCTAATGATATTATACAAGAATTATAATTATCAAATAGTAAATTTCTAATTACTTAAAAAAAGTATTATTATTTTGCTGCGGTTGAGTTCCCGAAATTCCTTCTTATTTTATTGTTCTCGCATCCATTTTAATTTTATTTTCCTTTCCCATTATTTAAAATCTGTCATAGCTAAAAGTTATCTTGATAATTTTAAATACGAATCGCAAAAACATATAATAATTCAAATTTATTTATTTTTACGGTGATTTCATTATCAATAGTAAGATCAATATAGTTGTTGATATTATTAATATTAATATCCTTCAATACGGAGTAACTCAACAAAATTTTTGCCATTTTTTCTTTTTTTTCCGTTATTATTATCTTTATCAATTTTAATAATCGATAAATTCTTTTTGTTATATGAACTTTTACAACAAATGTTTCTGATTGAAGACTGACAAAACTAATTGTTTCTTTTTGCAAGCTACTGTAACTCCAATAACCGAAATGAAATCCATATTTTTGAGGTTTTCTTTATTCTCTTTCACTTTTTTTATATTTCATTTTATGGCAAAGAGAACATCAGCAAAAGATCCATATCTTTTCGTCGTAATTAAACCAGTTTTATTGTATCCGTTTTTCCTACTTCATAGATATCCAAAACCTAGTACATGTAAATATTTTCTGTATTGTCAAAAAATATTTCTTCATATATTAGAAGTTCTGTTTTTTACTTAAATTAACAGTTTAAGCTCGGACTATCTAAGGCAATTCTCGAAGTCACGTTCAATTATCGTTGGTTATATTATAGCATTTTCTATTGTGTCGTGATATTCTGCCCGTAGTTCCGACACAAAATATGCACTTAATCGATTCATAATATGTCTTCATCTTTGTTCTTTTTGTCAGTATTTCTGCAGTCGAGAATACAAATGAGGATTTTTATTTATTGCTTTAAAGAATAAGTAAATTTTCGATTTTTATCACAAATGTCTGTGTCCACTTTCGTTTATTGAAATTCAATTAGCTGACAGTAAACTACATAAGGAAGCTTACATTCTTTGAATGTTCTGAATAAAGTTTAATATTGATTTTATATTTATCATTATTCTTTTTGCTTTTTTTAATTAAATTACAGTAATATTATAACAAGATATTGTCTAATTTAGCCTGCTCTGAACAATATTACTGTGTTAATTCAATAAAGATGTGTGGAAAAATTAAGTATATTTGATAATTAACAAAAATAAATAACAAACGAAAAAATTAATATTTTTAATAATCAACTGGAGAAATTAGTAAAATAAATGTGAATTATTAGTCGCAAGATAAAGCTCTGTTCGGGTCGGTTAGGATCGGGGTTCGAGAACAATCCAGTCGGTTCCGAAAATATCTGTTCGGTTTAGATATTGACCGATTCGGATTTAATCTAAACCCGAACCGACCTCGATCCGATAATTTTCGTGACAGGTCGGGTTTCCAATAATTAATGAACGTCGGGGTCATATGTTTTTCAAGGTACTGTAGTTCTACTAGTTCTTTCTTTAGTTCTTAGTTCTAATACATGTCATGTATTTCATATATTGCTTGAAAAATCATATGACCGACACTCGTAATATTGGTAATACTCAAATACCAAATTCTGATAAAACGACAATCCAAATTCCCGAAATAGTAATAAAAATGGTGAATCGTTGTGACTTATAACGCTATCGATTCGGAATTATGAGCTTTCGGGATGTTAAATTGTCGGGATCATGAACTGTCGCGATGTTAATTGTCAGGATTTTGTTTGTCGTGCTATGGGATGTTAGGATTTTGATTTTCGGAATGTTTGACGGTTCTCGCTTATCAATTCCATAATTACCAGATTGCGACTCGCCCGAATGCACGAAAACTCGGAATCGTAATAATTTTGGTATTCATGCTATAATTTCAGGATTTCGTTTGTTCGTGATCCATTCTTTCGGGATTTTGTTTGTCAGGCTTATAAACTATTGGGATTATGTTTGTCGGATTTCGTACCAGACTCGCGTTGTTGTTGTACATATTGTAAACGACTAAAAAGTTTAAACAATCGAGAGTCTACGAAATTGTAACAGGTCTATTAATCAAAATTACGGGTCGACCCGAATCGGCCGGATTCTACCGTTTCAGATATGATAAAACCCCGAACGAATCAAAACCGAACTGATTTTCTTTCGGATTAAAAAATAACATTTCGAAGTTTCGGATTCGGTTCTGAATAAACATTTTATTTTGTATGTTTAACTAATAATTTCAATTTCATTTCCCACGCTTTCTTTAGCAAGCGTTTCGTCATTATTGCTAATAATGCCTTGTTTTATCAATTTTTGGTGTTCATAGATATCATGCGTGTTCTCGAACTTAGCTTGTTCATATATGGATTTTTCTGGAAGAAATTGCAGCATTAGGATTTCCACTATAATTGAGGCGAGTGACTGTTTATCAATTTGTTGATTGAATCGGTTAATATTCAAATTATTCATCATGTTGTTAATAATAAAAATTAATTAATTGAATCATTACTTACGAAAAGAGCAAAACCAGCCACGATATTTTTGAGTAACGAAATGAAATCGAACTTTCCTATTGTTCCGCTTTGTTGAAATACTAATCGAAGGCTAATAATTAATTGCAATAAATGTATAAATCGGTAAGACAACTATAACTAAAGATGAATAATAGATCAGCTAAAATCAAAAAAAGGTTTATTTACATACCCATGTCTTTCTTTTATCACGTATCCACCATTCGGCTGATATATACTTTCAATGGATTTGTACTCATTACCTTTAATATATTGCGGGCGATATGTGTACGTTATGGTATCTTCCTATATTGCCATCATCAGCCCAATTATATAAATATAATACATGTAATTAAGTTAGTTGGCTTAACATAATTTGCATATAAATATTTAAATAGGAAATAACTCTATGAGGAATACCTTGAATGGTACGTTCTTATAATCAATTACTATGACAATAACTATTCCGGATGATCTGTATATCTCTCCAGGTTTAGCGCCAGGTGCAGTTGAAACGGCTTCAATTAATCATATTACAAAATTTTTAAATATTAATAGTTAAATTAAAGCTTAAGTTGTGTGTGTCATAAAGTTAATCCGAATAATCCCGGTTTGATTCTAAAACTAGTTGGGTCTCATGATCTAAATACCTTGCAAATCTGCACCAGCTGCTGTTAAGAGTTGCTGAACTGTCATAATATCTCCATCCGCTCTGGGATCATCCTGTTTCTAATTTATTAACGAAATAAAATTGTATATATTATGTACATGAGTAACTCACATTCCTACTCTTTGGAAAATAAATACGAGATATTTACCCTTGTAGTAGAATTCCAAGATTTAATAACTTTCCCATTAATATCCACAAGTGATCCATCCATTGAACCATTTAGACCATTACGTATACCCATATCAGTAGTGTGTCCTCGAATTGAATGTTCAATCATCATCTAATTACAAATCATAATAGTTAAATAGATTATAACCGAAAAAATATTCATATCGATATATAATATTTTTGAATATATGTTTACCGTGTAAGTTTCTATATCAGCAATATAAGAAATATTTACAACTGGAGTATAGTTATTTGGATTGAAAATACATGGATCATTTGGTGCTGAGGCTGTAAGGAAATTACAATTGTTTGGCGGGTCAAATTTATTGACTTTCACTCTTGTAGCGAAGAATGCAACTCCTGCTCCATCATTAGGATATTGAACTTAAGAAAAAAAACGAAATAATTCAATTTACGAGATAAAAGAATCAAAATGCGTAAACAAAAAACAATCAATTGATTTTACGCACTATCATTTGCTCCCCAGTAAACACATGGTACATCACCATGACAATAATCAGGAGTATCAAAGTTATTTGGCGCTTGTAATGTAATTCTTATTGCACCGGGTGATGGAAGTTCCTTAAGAAACATGATTGTTAATGCAAGCTTGATAAACAGTATTATGTGTGATTGTTCGAACAACACACCTTTTTGAAATAGCCTTCATTGATTATGATTGTAGAGATGATGTAAGCGAAAATAGCCAGTTGAAAGCTACGATAAAGGACACCGAGACGCTTACTTAAAGAAAAAAAGGAAATAGAAATAAATTATCATTTCTTCAAAATAAAGTAAATAACGCGCGAAGTGAGTAAGAAGAGAAAGCTTACTCTTGAACTCTAACCGTTTTAAACGTTTCATAGCTAAATAAGGATTTCATTTATTTTGAGTGAGTATCAATTTAGCCAAAAATATATAAGAACATTCTGAAGTATTTTAACGTATACCTAAATATGTCTTGAAAAAAATTTTCAAACATTTTGAATGGTTGTTCTACAAGTTTTGCAAGTAAATCAATTATAGCGCAAAAATACAAAAAGTCATTCTTTTATTACATGCAGTAAAGTAAACATATGATAGTAAAAGTGACACCACCACGCTAAATCAAATACATGTAATGACGATAACACAACATTTAAAATACCTATTATAGGCCTATTTAGGCATATATGTATGTAACGATATAGAGTTAAAATTTTGGATAAACATTTCAACCATTTATAGACAACATAGTTGTATATCAACGAGAATTTAGTCGATCAGATATAAAATTAGTTGTAAATTCTATTATGATTAGAAATTTTAATAGAATTACAATACATTCAACCCAAATAGGTACAGCTTTGCAATTCGTTTTCATGGATAAAGAAATGATACAATTCCATTATTTATATATAAATAGTCAAATGAGAAATTTAGATCACACGCATATAGAACATAAGATTCTTAACAATAATAAATTTCGTTCACGTATATACAAGCTGCAATTCATTAATTCGTACATGGAATATCTAATAGTAAGTACTTGTTCGCCGACAATCGATTTGGTCGGGGAAATAACTGAATGTGGATAGTAGAACAGGGATACTGTGACCCAGAGTAGATCAATGTTGAAAGATCGTCAATTTCTCGAATTTTCATCAGCCCGGCGAAGAAAAAAATTGAATACGTGAAAAAACGAAGTCAAATGGTTAAACTATCTTGAGATGTTAAAAAAGGTCAAGAATGCAAATTTACTTATAATACTCAGCTAATTAATTCCTGAATCTAATTTTTAAATTGTTTTCGTTCATTTTTTGTGCTACATGAATTGTGGCATAATATAAAGAGATTATACATGAATCACTTGCCAAAAAACTGATATTTAACACAAGAGAGATATTTAAAGTACAACATCACATTAAATAAATATTATATGAGAATCCGAACTATCCGAAACATCTGCGACAATTCATCACTAAAGAGTAAGCTTAGCAACACGATCTCAAAATAAATTTCACATGTATAGTAAGTAATCTCACCCCGATTTGAAATTATATATAGTAAAACATATACAGTCCCCGGCAAAAGTAATGGCGGTCAGTTATTTTTCTTTGGTGGTAAACAGATTTCACGAGATCGAAGATATTAGCAGCAAAATTACCTTCAATTTTTTCATTCGAAGAACAAAATCTTCAAAGATGATTGGCTGTCCCGTGAATGACAAGTTAATCATTTCTTTTTTCCCACGAAATAAACAGATTCAGCAATTATTATATACCTACTATATATATTTTCTTATTAAATAACAAGTTTTTTATTTTAACAAAGGCAGGAAACGTGTGTTCTCTATATAATAAAGAAGAAAATGGAAAAATAACACGCTCAATATCTTACAATGACCAAAGACACCAAGATCTTAGTAGTGTTACTCCGCGAGGCAAAACGCGGTCTCGAAAAATAGACTTGAAAGTAACAACCGTAGCAAACGAAACCGATTCTACGGGGAGTACACCTGACGATACCTCACCTGGCGTTATTGTTCCGATCCCAAACCGATTTGTGTCACAAGATCTCACAAAACGCGTAAACATTTAAATAATCAGAATGATAATACTAACAATAAAACTAGCTCTGATAATATTAAAATTCCTCAAGATTTTTTAGGGAGCCATTTGCGACAACAACAAAATGCAGCAGAACGCACGAGAGCGTCGCGAGATAATTCTGAACAGGGTAGGATCCCCCCCCCCCCCCCCCCCCCCCCCCCCCCCCCCCCCCCCCCCCCCCCCCCCCCCCCCCCCCCCCCCCTGCTTCTCTCTGCGCGGTGGTGGTTGTTTTGGGGGTGGGGTGGGGGGGGGGTGGGGGGG